AACAATGCCGAAAAGTCCAAGTTCCAAGTCTCCACGATCCAAGGCAAATTCTCAAGTGTGAGCCCCTGTATGAATAGAAAGTTAAATGCAATCACTCACTCTTAATCCTAGCACTGAACCATGAATCAATCACAAACTCTAGATTCAGCTACCTCTGAAAAAGTTCCATCTAAAAGTGCATGAGGCTTTGGGAGGGACATCTAGACACAAACCATAACACAGATTGAATGCAATCCTGATCAAAATACCAATAGCAAGGGCTGGGGAGATAGCTTAGTGGCATAAGTGCCTGTCTGGCAAGTTCAAGGTCTTGAGTTTGATCCCCTGTACAAACAATCCAATAGCATAACTCATGGAATTAAAACAAACAATCCTAAAATTCATTTGGAACTAGAAAAGACCTAGAATAGCAAAAACAATTTTGGGCTCCTACCTTTTTGCTCCTGTTACCTTTGTTGTTTTCTGCTGCCGTAAATTGTTGCCCTCTGCCATGTGCCACTCTGCCTTGGAGTCAGCTGAGTATAGATTGAAACCTTCATAAACTACGAACTAAATAAACCTTTCCTTCCTCAATTTTAGGTGTCAGGTATTTTTTCCCAGCAACAAGAGCAAAGTAAGTGAGACAAAATTTGGTACCAAGAGTGGGGTCATTGCTATGACTATTCCTGGCCACGTGGTATAAGAACCTTTGGGAATGACTTATAGGAAGAGATACAAAAGGTCTGGAGATGTCCCCTGAAAGAGAACTGATGGAATACCTTTGGCTATTCAGTAGGGAAGATTCTGGTCAGAGCTCAGAAGAGCAGAAGGCTGATAGAAATCCGGTTGGTAAAGACCAGGCTCAGGAGGTTTCTGCTGGGAAGAAGGAAGTTTTGGTTTCTGGACTCCAGATGATGTGTGTTATGGCTTGACAGAAATTTTGTTCATGTCCCAGGATGGCCTGAGACTGAGATTAAGCACAATGGACTGATTAATCTGACAAAAGAAATTTCAAGGAGGTCAAATGTTGAGGCAGTGGCATGGCTATTGTTGAGGGGGGGTGCTTTTAGTCAGATTTATGTTGTGAATCAAGAGCAAAGAGCCAAGCACGATGATTTAGAATGTTGTGAACTTGGCCAGAAAGGAAGCACCAGTAAAGCTTTGGACTACAAAAATAGACCTGAGAAGATCTCAGTTGCCTAGAAAGAACAGGAGAACAGAAAAGATGGCCTGAAGGCATTACAGGAAGCAGTAAATCTGCACCCTTTGGAGCCTCAAAACTTGAAAAGTGAAAGACTTTGCTTTGAAGAGAAAGCTGCAGAGTGCTATGTTCCCAAATGGCAGCAGTGACCACACCAGATTCCAAAAGGGTGATCATATAGATGATTTGTTTCTCAGGATCAGGTCAGAGTGCTCCGCGATCTGGGGATCAAGGCACTTGATCCCTACAGTCAAGAGAGAAAAGCACCCGGCTACTGTTCTAGCTGGCAGTGGACCTCGGCAGCATTCACGTGGCATTGGCTCTAGGCACACGCAGAATGCAGGAGTTCTGAGGTTAAGAAGGCTTCCACCTAGATTTCAGAAGGCCTGGAAGGCCAGGCAGTGTGCCCCTGGGAGGGCGGTATGTGAAGCTGTGAGTGAGAAGCATATTCAGCGGAAACCCCAGAAGTTTGCAGAATCCAGGAATGTGGATCATCTAAGGAAAGTTGCAAGGAGAGAGCAAAGCAGGCCTAAGAGAGAAGCCATGGGAGCTACCACCAAAAGAGCCATAGGGGTGGAGCCACATGAAGCTCCCAAGTCACCACAGATTGCTTTGGCTGTTGAACATGGAACTACAGGACTTAACATTTGCCCTGCTGGAATTCGGACTTGCTTCAGTCCTAATGCTTTGTATCACATTGTTTGCACCCTTTGGAATGGTAATGCTTTTCTTGTGACATTGAATGTTGGAAGTGTTTAACTTTTCATTTGTACAAGGGCTCACAGCTAAGAGTTTGCCTTAGATCTAGAAGGAGACTTGGGACTTGGACTTTTCAGCAATTCTGAAACTGTTAGGACTTTGGCAACTCTTAGAGATGGACTAAAATGCCTGTTGCATTAAGGCATGTATATGAGTCTCTGGGTGGCCAGGGGCAGAATGTTTGTGTCTTATGGTTTGTGTCTAGGTGTCCCCCCAAAAGCCTCATGCAGTCATGTTGCAGGCTTCTAGAATTTGTGAGTAATTCATGTTCCAATGCTGGAATTATAGGTGTGAGTGCTACCTGGGTTATGGGTATGAGTCCTAGCCCCACCCTGGGGCAGATACCTTGGACATAATATAAGGAAGGGGGAGAAGCTTGCTCTCTGCCACATCCCCTCCTTTTCTGTTTCTGTTGTTCTACTGCCATGAACTGCTGCCCTCTGCCATGTGCCATTGTGCCTTGGAGCCAGCTGATTACGGAGCAAAACCTCCACAAACTGTGAGCTAAATAAACCTTTCCTTCTTTAATTTTGGGTGTCAGGTATCTTGTCCCAGCAATGAGAACAAAGTAACTGAAACAAGGTACAAATTCTCTGTAATGAATGTTATCATTACGTATATCTAAAATGTGATATGTATATATTTTTAAAGCCATCTCCGGGGGCCGGGGAGATAAGCGCTTCCCTGGCAAGCACTTCCCTGGCAAGTGCAAGGGCCTGAGTTCAATTAAAAAAAAAAAAAAAAGCCATCTCCTACCAGAAGATTTCCAAAGAGTGACAGGGCCTCCAAGAAAAGAAAGTGTTTCTGGTAGTACAGACACACACACACACACACACACACACACACACACACACTTTGGAATAAAGGACTAGGAAGGCACCTGCTAAAGGCAATGTAATCCAGGGAGCTGCCCACATGTCCCCCTGACAGGAGCTTACAGATGCCTGGGTGCTCTCAGGGGACAATACAAAACAATACAGTCTTGGTCCCTTCCTTGGAGGAAGTCCCACTCTAGCAATTCAATTCAACAGCCTTTTACTGGGTTTGGGGTATCTGGCTCTGCACGGGTTCTAGACGGCATGACACTGTTTTGCTCCCGAGGAGATGAAGAATGGACACCAGTCTGAGCAAAAACAGAAGGAACCCCATAAGAGGGGTAAAACCTGGAGGATGGGGTTTGGAAGGAGAGGGATTTAGGGGCTTTTCAGGGAGGTTTCCTGTAGAGAGCTGGAAAGACAGACTCCATTCTGCAGGATAGGATGAGAAGTGGTGAGGGGTTCACACAAATTAGAGCACAGAGACAGGAAAATCAACATGGCTAACAAACAGAGTGTCCACAGAGCAGGCGAAGTAGGAACCTCATGGGCCAGTGCAGGCCTTGGTCAGCAGTGGGAAACAAAGGGCCTGGGGCTGAGTAAGAATCCAGGTAGATGTGGGTGTTTTGTTTTTGAGAAAGGGTTTTACTATGTAGTTAAGGCTGGCCTTGAGATCACTTTGTAGCCCAGGCTGACCCTGAACTCACAGCGATCCTCCTGCCTCAGCCTCTGGAGTGCTGAGGTTATAGGCATGCGCCGCGTCACCCTGCCTCAACTGGGGAGACTTGGGCTTAATCTTAGCTCTTCACCTGCTGTGTGACCTTGGGCTGATAACTTCCCTTCTCTGAGCCTCAATTTCCCCATCGCAGAAATGACCAGGTGGACTGTGAGGACACTCTGAACTGTGCTGTTTTCTAATCTGCCAGATGCCACCTGCAGGAAGGTGCATTCTGACTCAGCCAAGGGAAGAGTGCTGCCCATAAAGAGGTCTGAACGCAGGGTCCCCGGGAAAGCAAGGGCGAGGCCACAGGTGCTGAGCTGCAGCGGGGGAGGATTCTGTCCAGCTAGACACCCAGCCACCGTCCCCCCAACCCCAGTCACCATGGCCACTCCCTTCAGAAGTCCCTGACCTGTGCTGGTCAGGGGTTTTTTTCCCCTTTGCCACCCGGTGAGCTGCCCACGGGTGTCCCCGAGGCCAGACCCTGCTCTTATATAGTTTCCTCTCTCTCTCTCTCTCTCTCTCTCTCTCTCTCTCTCTCTCTCTCTCTCT